CGTATCGATCTTTCAGGTCGCATAAATACCTTAGACGAGGTTACGGCCTTTGAGCAGACGAAAGGGTTGGGTCTAGAACTTGAGGGTTAAGGTTATAGTTCAAGCGTTGTAGGCACTGAAGGCATGGTTGGGTCAGGCTCGCCACTCCGTCACTCTGGAGGACGATGCACACGGCGTTGGTGTCGTGATTGTATCAAAGATTCAAGTTAAACCTAGGTTCCTGCAACATAAGCCCTAAACCTTGAGCCGTGAAATTTATGTACTGTTGAACTACAGGGTCAAGAAACGGTTCGGGCTACCCCCAAGCCCTGACTATACTCGTGCAAGTTGGGCTTCGGAAGCGAACTTCAGCAAGCCCCCCAAAATAACCCCTGATACCACACGGCAAAGCCTGAAGCCCAAACCCCTAAACCCAAAACCCCCAAACCCCTAAACCCTAAACCCCCAAACCCCTAAAACCCTAAACCCTATAAACCCCAAAAGCCCTAAACCCTATATAACCTAAACCACCAAACCCTAAACCCCAACCCCCCAAACCCCTAAACAAAGCGCCGATCCCCGGAGGCCCACAAAAGCCTGAGCGTCTCGGTGAGGATGCAAATTGCCTGGGGCTTGGCTCGGGGCTGTGTTTGATGTTTTTTGGGACGATAGGGGCCTAAAGACTTACCGAAACTATTCTGGGGGGCTCCTTACTGCAATTATGGTACAATGGGCCCCAAAACCCTATTCTACTTCTTAAAGCCCCTATATTACTCGTGGTTGTTTGATTTCCTTTTTCAGTGGTGTGGGGTCGTTCGTGTGTGCGTGTTTTGGCTTTCGGGCTGTAGAATTTTAGGGTCTGGGGATTGAGGTTCTGTTGCCTTGGGGTTTGGGGGCTTTGCGCAAACCCCTAAACCCCTAAACCCCTAAACCCTGATTCAGGGTTTCAGGGCCTTGAGGACTTTGGGCCTTGGGGGCCTTGAAGGCTTTATGGCTTTTAGTCGCTTCAAAGCTTCAGGGTTTGCAGGGTTGACCTTAAATCCTAAAACCCCCATAAATCCCGATAAACCCTAAACCGTTGAGTTTTCTAGGACTATAGGTTTTGAGAGTTTGTAGGGGTTGTGCGATGACGAGGCCGCCTCGGATGTGAATAGGGTTGCTTTCAAGATGACCCCGTCTTCCGGGATCTTTGGTCGTACGAGGTCTTCATTTCGCGATGCTGATATTGGGGGCCTCCCTGTTTTCTCAAGCTTCAAAGCGCTCAATGCTCGGTGAATATGCGAGTCTCAAACTCGATACTGTAACGACGTGGGTCACCCTGTCACGTGGTTTCGTCGTGGATCCTAAACAGCGTAGGACCATACCAGTAGGATCGGGTGTGCAGTGCCAAAGAGAGAAGGCTAATGGGGTTTAGGGTTCAGGGTTGAAGGTTCAGGGTGACGGTTCCGCCACCTGCAGTCTTGCTGTCGGCGCTGACTAGCTTCCCACTCGTGAGCATCAGCTAACCTGCAAGCCAGCAGCACGGCTCACAAACAGCAGGTGCCCAGCATCATGCGCATCAGAAGGGGCTTGTCTTCCACGCGGCCTCCAAAAGTCAGAGTCATCAGTGTCGCGTGGTGATGAAAGAAGCCAGGAAAGACGAGCAGACATCAACATCATGTGCATCAGTGGGGTATTGTTTTCGCCAACACCCGCCAAAGTGAAAAACACAAATGAAAACAATGAACTAGTCAGAAGCCGACCAGCCAAGCATCATGAGCATCAGCGACTGTTGCTGCGAAAGTATAATGAGAATCATCGGGTCTTCGTTCATCAGCTGCAACAATCCTGAGCATCACTGGGGCTATGTATCGACTCGGAAGCCACGCTGCCCAACAGCATGAGCATTCTTTGGTGCAGGAGTGGTGCCGAGCGCATCATGCGCACCGGATACCCAGTATCATGCGCATCAGAAGGGGCTTGTCTTGCATGTAATTAACCCCAAAAGCCAGGTGGTCTAAGAAGAAAGAGCAGAACGAGACCAACATCATGCGCATCAGTGGGGTGTTGTTGAACACCCGCCAAGGTGCAAAATGCAAGTGAAAACAAGCAAGTAGTCGGAAGACAAACCAACAACCAGCAGAACCGCGAACCCAGACCGCCGGCATCATGCGCATCAGAGGGGTAACGATTTGTATGATGACAAGAGACTCGAAAATTCGACTACATGAGCATTGGCATCATCGGGTATTGTCACCGGCGACATCGGGCACCACGCGCAATATATGCTTTGACTATCACAAAAGCCAACCTGCCGAACATCATGAGCATCTCTGTCGTGCGGTTTCGTTGCAGAAGCCGGCGCTGAGCGAATCATGCGCCCCACTTGCCCTAACACATACGGTTGATGACACAAATCCTGCAGGACCTTAATGGGTCATAAGGCCCTAGACTATGGAAATTATAGTATATTCCCAATTATGGTAATGCAGGATTTATATCATCAGCAGTATGAGGCACTGCCCTTTAATTTCCTGCCCCGCCTTGTCCTGGTGGCTCAGCTGAGTGGTCAAAGCTGATCTCCACAACAGGCCAACATGTTATGTATATCCTCCGAAATTGCTTGCTAACAGCAGTGCTGCAGCTTCCTTAGACCACTGAAAGCTGTACAAGAAGTTTAGGGTTTAGGGGTTTTAAGCCTAGGGTTCAGGCTGATCTTGATGCCAGTACTACCACGGTATTTTGTTCAGCTCCGGAACGCACAAACCCTACCTAGACCCCTAGATGTAGTATTCGTTGGGGTTACCCTTTTTTAATAATTTAAGGGTCCTAACCACAGCGAGAGTCATCCAATAGAAGGCATATACTAGATTTCAGGGCCTTGGTAAAGCTCGGACAGCGTCCTGAAGCCCAACAGCTGTCTACTCATCGAGTGGCTGCAACTGTTTACTACAGCCCAAAACTGCGACCAGCACAACCGCTAACCCAAAGAACCCCTAAACCCTGAATCCCCAAACCCTATAAACGTTGGGAATACTGTTTAGAGCCCTAACCTGCGATGGGTACAACAAAGAGATGTAAAGCCCTAAATCCCTATGAACGTTGGAAATAGAAGCCGTGCCTGCTGAGGCCATGAGGATCAGAGCGGGCCTGCCCACAGCTGGGGTATACCGAGGGTCTCCGAAACCGCCTTGCCAGTTGAGGTTTACCGTTCAGGGTTTCCTAGTAGTAGAGTAGGGAACCCTTATAACCGTTTTTGGGTAGTATAGTCCCTACATAATCATTATAAACCAACAAGGTTAACCTACAGTTCCCCATGATACCCGACAAGTAGGGGTTTTTGCTTTGAAGAATCTAAACCGTAAACCTTCAACTCTCGGAAGGGACCTTTGGTTGGAGTCTCTCGGCAAGGCCAAGCTTTGAGTTTACGGGGCCAGCCAGCCCCAACTGCAAGCCTTTGTTCCCGGTGTTCAAGGTACCATGATTCAGGTTACAGCTTTAGGGTTTATAGGGCTTAGGCTGAAAGTATATGGAGCCGTCGGCGGTTAATTAAGGAATATACCTCAAATCATTTTATGTTAGGGATCCGATTCGCATTTAAGGCATATTCTTAAGTAAGGGATATTGGCGTGCTTCAGGGTTGAGAGCAGCAGGACCCTTGTTGTATGAGATGAGTTTGCCGGTGCTATGTTGGGGCTCCTTGTTGTAATTGTATAGGCCAACATAGGGTTTCAGGGTTTCGTTTTAGGGTGAAACCCGAAATAAAGAAGGGCTTCGGGTTGGCAAGGCTAGGGTCTCAAACAGCTTCGTTCGTATATGATCTTGTATTTCCCCTTGTTTCAGTTTGAGATGTCTTTGCACCCAAGAACCGTGGACTTTGGCTTGCGCATCGCAGTTTTTCAAGCATTGTGTATACAGCAGCCGACATTTCCCGGAAGAAGTGGGGAAGCGCTTTGCCGTTCGGTGCAAGGATCTCAGAAGGTGGGAACGACACTAGGATTCCGGTGTAGGGTTTCGAGTTTAGGGTTTAATTAGGGTTTAGGGTTGCAGATTCCTCGTATTAGAGGACCCTCTTTGGGATTGTTCCCACATGCCGTATACCTTAAGCACCTAAGTCCTTCATTCATCCCACCTTCGGAGCCCCTTTGATAAAGTTGCGGTCGGATTGTGCTCCATAATTACCCCGACACACGACTTTTTTCTGATGTTCTTCAGATCTTGAGGCCTTTAGCTTCTGCTGTTTCTAGAAAATGACTGCAACGTACAGCTTCGCATGGCTAAAGCACTGCGCACTTTGTGTCGTCGAGTGGCGACCTGTCTCACATCGCACTTGCCTTCATAAGTGTGGCTTCAGGTGCAAAAGTCGAGGCCGCTGCTCGTGCTTGAATTGCTCCCTGGGGCTTTTAGAGCTGCACTTCAGCCGTATACCCTTCACCATGCTCCATGATGAAGACAATGCAGACAAGCCAGCCTCGCTATGGATGACCATACCATGACTGCAGTGCTGTTCTCATTATTCCTGTTTTGAGTCTTCATGTCTGTTGCTGTCACCCGCCATTGGTCCAAGCCAACCCAGAACCCCAGCTCGACTGGCTGTTTGGCACTCTCTTATGTCAAGCTTTCGACAATTGGGGATACCATGAGGGGAACATGGATCGTATCATTTCACTCTTTTATATCCGCTTGCAGACCAGTGGGCACGGCATGCAGACAACTCAGGCTCACGGGAATACTGATTCGAGTTTGCTATTCCAACCCACCATGGCTCTACTACCCACACACTCAACCGAAGCCTTTTTCAAGTTTCGGACCCTGAACCGGTCCAGAAGAGAGGCCGTCAAAGCCAAACACCCTCATCGCTAAAGTTAGGTAGAGGCGAGATCATGTTGTACCGTCATTGCTGTTTTTTAGTTCGTAGTAGCAGTAACGGGGGTCGTCGTCGTCCTTGTCGCAGTAGCAGCAGCAAAAACAGCAATAGTGGTAGCAATCGTTGTCGTCTTGGCAGTCGTCCTTCCTTTAGCTCATATCTTGCCCTTCCCAAGGTGCGGCAGACATCCGGCCGAAAGACTGCTTAGGGGTTGGGAGGACCGAGCGGGTTGAAAAGCTTCTTGATCGGGCTTTTCGGGTTTGCACGGTTGTAAATATGCCATTTTTGTTTCGCCAAGGCAGGGTTATTTAATCGATTTAGTGCTTGGAGCGACTATCCTTGTGACACTCCCATGTTAGACGTTGAACTCCTACTCACTGCTTCCATAGAGTTTCTTGGGAAGCCAACACTTGAAGTAGCCTCGAGCTCGTTGCTTCGGTGATTAGTTGAGCTCTGCCGATGGGCTTTAACAGTTAGGGCTTCGGGCTTCCAAGACTCATGGCTTAAACCCCAAACCTTACCTAAGCCCCAAATCGAAACAACAAGCCCTAAGGGTAATGCTTTCGCTTCCAGCCTCTCTAAGCCAAGCATTTGCATTTACAGCTCAGTGGTTCAGCATCCATACACAGTTGAGGGCCTATCGTGAAGGGTTATTGGACGAGTTGTTTCATTGGGGTTGCTATTAGGGTGCTACACGGCTTCAACGGTTCCGGGCTCATTTTGTGGTTCAGGACTTTGTGGCAAACTGTCGACCACAGAAGTCTTGGTGTAGGACTGTTGACTTGGATCTTGGTTCTCGGGGCCCCGGTGCAGTCTCCAAGTGAGGGCTCTGGATAGGACTTAGGGGTACTTGGAAATATTTTTTAGTTTTGGTTATTATAATCCCTAAGAAACAGCTAAAATTACATTTTTTGCTAGGGTTCTAAGTTCAGTATAGAAGAGAAGCAAGCACGGGACGGCTACACACCTATGTCTTATGACACACGTATATTCGCATACACGTAGACACGAAAATACATATTCTCCAAGTTGGCATACTTACATATATATATATATATTTACATATATATATATATATATATATATATATATTATGCATAAATACATACACAGTTGTACATACGGGAGCACTTACAAATATAGACACTTGCACATATATATATACACACACACATATATATATATATATATACATGCCAACACATTATATTCATATACACATAGGTTCATGAGCACATACTACACATCTCTACACTTAAGAAGATAAACATAAAAGCCTGGACACACATTTGTGCACATGTTTCACGTGTGCAGCTACATTAAGGTGCATGTAAGCACGTATATACCTGCTTATCGTACGTGTATGTGTACGTGTATGTAATATGTATATATATATACATACATATACACACACTGCTGGTTTTATGTATGTTTGCACCTACACCCGTATATGTTATACGTGAATACATAGACATGTGTCTCTACGTGTGTATAATGTGTATGTCTATGTATCTATCTATCTATATATATATATATATGCATATGTACACGCGGATGTTTGTACACAGTGTGTGTCGATGCGAGCCTTACCCAGCAACTACACACGTACATACATATATACATATGTATATACACACACAGACGCGTGCAAACGCTTCTGCCAGTGGCTGGATGAGCCGACGAACACTGTCGAGTTCGCATTTTGTCTGTGTGTACATGGTGTGTACATGCATGCTGACGTACATGTGCACAAATGGGCATGCCATTTGTTCTCTACAAAGAATCAAACGCCGTCAATTGCGATATCATTGGCGGTTTGAGCTCGTTTATCCATGTAAGCTTACATACAGGCATGCATGCATGCATCTACAGTATGTTGTTTGCAGTGCTTCTCCGTGCATGAGGAGCAGTACAGCCCCCGCGGAGCCCATGAAATCGCTGTACAGCACCGACTTCACCCACAAGGTGGTCGGGTTTAGGGCTTTAGGGGCTTCACGGTTTTGGTTGCTAGGGTCAGGTGCTGAACTCTTGGGTTTGCCGGCGATGGCGTTTGAATTGCTTTCTGCAAGCATCGGGCATCGGGTGTTGAGAGTTCTCTGGTTCGGAGGAAGGACTATGACACATCAATTACGGCATGGCAGCAATTCACGCACGATTGATCAACACAGCAATGTAGGTTCTAAAGCCCGTGCAGTAGAACAGCCGGTGCATATTTCGATGAAGCATGTACCGTGGGCATGGTAAGAGCCGATGTACATCTTCTTACCCTAAGGGTCCATGTACTCATATAGTATATACATAGGCCTTAATGTAGTCCCTATATAGGTACTTTGGGGCTCATGTATCTCTATATGGGTACATGGACCCTGAGGGGTAGGGGCCTTACTAGATAGACTAGGGTTCCTTTAAAGGGGTCTGTAAGGGCTAATATAAGGATACAATATAGGGGCCGTAATAGTGGACCCTTAGGGTTACACAAATGCAAGCCAAATGTGCTCAACCCGGAGTCGGTGACGTCGTAAGATGGAGAAGATTGACGGATGTGTCAGGGCGGAAGGCTGTGGCTGGGGTTTAGAGTGTACGTTTTAGTCAATACCTGGAGGAAGGACTTTAGGGTTTAGGGTTTAGGAAGATATTTTGGCTGTGCCTTGGACTTTCTTGACAGTAGCTCATATGGGGTATTCTTTGAAGACCCCTCCATGCCGTCCATACAGCCAGGACCCTAATCTAGGGAATTACACACGGCCTTCAAGGTGACGAGACGAGATCGAGTTCGCAAGAAGCAGCTGACTCAGTCTGAACCAAGGAATATCTACTAGAGCCTCTGGCACGCATCTTACATTCGAACCTCCGGCATGCATGTGACAACCTCCTTGAGGTATAACGAGGGCATCTTTCAATTAACGAATGGCACGTCAACCGCCTTGTTGATGTTGCAGAGTCCGTCGCCGCAGGATGTATTTGGTTTGTGGCAAATGACAACAGGACCGTATACTTAAACCTTAAAGTAGTTCCTGTATAGGAACTTTGAGGCCTAAGTATATACTGCATAGGTACATGGAGCACTAGGGTTGTGCATGTGGTTTCCAAACCGGCCTCTGGGAGATGTCACACCGGATGTTCATCATGGTTCAGATCTAGTTAGTGTGTATCCCAAGATGTGTATACGTGTTCAAAGGTGTGCATCTGCATGTGTCTCCATTCGTACACTTCATCAGGTTTGCATACACTCGGTTTCTGTGCCGGGACTCGTCGCAAAGACGGGGGTTCTGTTTGGTGCCGGGTTAGGGGCCCCTTGCAGGAAATTCTTCTAGAACACCAAGCAGAAGCGTTCCTGTAGCTCCTCGGTAAATGCTGTGTGCCAAAACCGCAGTGAAGTTACATTGGATCGGAAGCGACGTTATCATTGCATGTGTTTGCCTGCTATAGTCTGCCCTAATCCCTGACCCCGTATATTCTAAACCTTAGCCCCCTAAAGCCGTCAAAGCCGCGATCGTAAAATCCCTGACGCCCGGAAACTAAAGTCGTTGTTAAAGCCCCAAAACTCTATGAAAACCCAAGGGTTTAGGGGTTTCGGGTTTTAAGGTTAAGTGTTACGGGGTCGCCCCCCACCGGCACCGAGGGGATGGACCTAGCAGACGCCGGCCGTGTGCGGCTTACAGAGCATTCCGGTTTTTGGGGGCATATACGTAGCGGGATCAGGGTTAAGGGTTTCTAGGCTGAGGGGGACATGGGGGCGAACTGTGGACGTCATGACTAAGGCTCAGTGGGCTAACCCTCACTTTGAGTATCTGGATTACATATAAGATGTTTTGGTGCTCAGTCCGATCTCCAGACCCCAAACCCTAAACCAGTGTCAGGGATCAAGCCTACAGCACAGTGAGTACGTCCTAAAGATCTCTATATACACGAGCCAAATGGGAGTTTCCGAAAATGAGGGGTAGCTTCTTTTGAGGGGTCCTTTGCGTTGAAGCTCGATCTTAAGCGCGGACTGTCCGTTACTATTTTGCTTTATGGTCCAAGCGCTTATGCCCCACCCGTTTTCACCAAAGCTAGCATGCAGGACCATGCAAACCGTTCACGGCCCGCACACTAGCCCCACAAACCGGAGTTTTAAGACTAAGGTCGGACAATTGGTAACAGTCTCCCGCTGTAAAGCTGTATAATTTGTACATTCCCCTTTTCAAAGCCACAAAACACCATTTAAATTCATAGAGGGTCCTATATGAGACACATGGACCCTATGGCCTCAAAGTCCAAGACCACCGACCTGACAGCGTGGGCGTACGTACCCTGACTCCTTTCACCAAAGGGCCCATATACTACCAGTATGGAACTGGCTCCCTATATGCTGTTCTTAACAGTGTTTTGGGGGACCCACTTCCAGAATAGTAACTGGTGAAAATGTGGACCCTCTTGGCCCTCAGGAAGGATCCAACAACGCACGCTACCTGTTACAAGGTAGACTGATTCGACCAGAGTTCCCACTGAAAACCCGAGTACACGTTCAACACTCCCATGGTGCCCTACACGGTTTCAACTCCCTGATACTTGGAGGGTCGGGGGACTTAGTAACTGGTTATTTTAGGGACAATTATAAGTACCATAACCCCAATTAGGGTCCCTTTTAGGGTTCTTATAAGTCTACTTACTACCTTTTCTAAGTCCCCCGACCCTCCAAGTATAAACCCTGAAGACCAAACCCTGAGCTCTAAGCCTCCACCCTCGAACCCGAACAACAGCCTGAACCCATATCGTTTTTCGGAAACTAAAACCTTCATCCAACCCCCCCCCCACCCCAACAGAAACGAAGCCATTTGGGGTTTAGGGTTTAGGATAACCCTGAACCGAACCTGAAAGCTTTAGAGTATTTAGATTGCAAGAGGCATCCGGTTCGATCTCAGATGTTCCAATCCAAGGTCGCTGCTCTGACGTGGGCGAAAGGGGGCTCGTGTCGCGCAGGTATCGGGTAATTGGGGGTTAGGCTTCAGTTTCAGGATTTAGGGCTTTACTGTGGGGTTTATGGGGTTTTGGGGTTTTGGGTTTCGTCTCTGATTGCCAGATTTCAAGAGTTTGAGGTTTTGGCTGTCTCGGAGCTAGGAGCTTCAGACAAAAACCAATCCTCATCTAAACCGTAAGTTGAGGTGTAGGATCCCTATTAGAAGGACTCCTAAAGAGGGTACCCCACATTGTGTGTTTTTGTGGGCTTTTGTTCAGACGGGGTTTCTAGGGCTGGTATGGATTCTTGCTTTGCCCTTAGAGGCGTTATACAGAGTCGTGACAAAACCCTCTAGAGTCGAATTAAACTTAAAGTTATTTCGGACCGACTCCCTCGCATCCCGCCTTTAGTACATTTAGGGTGTACCGCGACCCCCTTGAGAGAGCTGTCATGGTCCGTAATCGTGAGTAGTTAGGGTATGGTAGAGGGTGCTTGTTGGGGTCTAGGTAGGGTGAAGGGCTCATGGTCCAAACCCCTTTAATGCGCCATACGCCTCAAAGATTCTCGTTCCCTCCAAAGGAGGGGCTGCGGAGAACCCAGCGTGCTTCGATTCAGTGTTTGAGCACTGAAATCCTGAATACTACCTGGGGTCTTGCCGGAGGTTCAGAGAGAATTCACCATGCTAATATAGAGGTCTCGGTGAGCAGTAGTATCAACCCCTTATGGCCTCATGGTCCCTAGATAAATGTGAAAACAGATGTATTGTATACCCCATGAACCTAGTCTGAGTATGTATTAAGGCCCGTATGCCATGCCATTTCAAGACACTCCTGCCGTGCTCTTCGAGTTTGTCGGATGCTGAAAGACCATAAGCCATAAAACCCTAAACCCCTTAAGTCACCCCTAGCGCCTAACCTCATACAACCATAAACCCTGATCCCGAAGCTGAACCCCCGGGACCTATGTGTTTTTTACGTTTCACCCAGCATTGTGACGAGGAAGGCCCAAGGCTTAAAAGTGGTTCAGGGTTGCGGGGTTTAGGGTTTCGGAGTTTAGGATCTAGGGTTTGGTGGTTTAGGTTTAGGGGTTTAGGGTTTCGGGGTTTAGGGTCTAGGGATTTAGGGATTAGGCTGTAGGGGTTTAGGGTTTGGGGCGCAGAGTTCAGGCTTTAGCGTTTAGGGTTTCAGGGAATGCGGGCCATGCAAAGGTTAAACTCCAAAGCCCTAGCGACATGCACCGAAACGACCCTAAACGCTAAGCCCTAAACCCTAAAGCCCAAACCCTCAACCCGCATTAAAGCCCAAAACCTACAAGCAAAAAGCAGTCCCAAAGACCGCCAAACCAGACCTATACCTCAAGTCCAGAGAACTTGCTAGCCGAAGCCCGTGATGTAGAAGCTTCAAGCTTCTGCTGCTTTGAGAAGTAGGAATCTTGGAACTCGTATTGTAAACCTGATTCATGGATACGGGCTTGAATCAGGGTATACATTCGCTCAGAACCGATGTGAGCGCACCAGCATATTAAGCCACAGCCACACTCCACGCAAGCCACGACGGACACGCATTCTTCCAGAATCCATAGCCGGTCACAGGTTTGGTATGTTGTGCTTTGCTTTCTACTAGGACCCCGAGTAGGCCCTTATTCCCTTTTTTAGGGTTTCGGCTCTCTTATCACCCCCTTGGCCCAAAAAGGGCACCCTTTTTATTCCTACATTACTCTTGGGTCTAGTCTAGTTTCGTTTATAGTCGGAGTGGCAGACTTCTTCTAAAACTTTCTTACTGTTGTACATTGTACATGAGGACACAAGAACTTTCTTACTGTTGTACATGAGGACACAAGATGACTTACCAACGTTGTTTCTTCGGGTTCCTTATTATAAGTACACTATAAAGGGGCCCCAAACCTGTTCCAAGTCTTAAGGCCCCTACATGACTTAGCTTCGCCTTCTGCTAGTCGGTTTCGGAACATTCCTGATTCGCTTCTGCCTAAACGGTTCGATCCCGCGGGATTCGGGGACGGGTCAGGCAGGTTAGTACCGTTGCCACGTGGGAGTTTCCGAAAATACGGGACCCTAACATAGTACCCTAAATCGTAGGATCCTTGTAAGAACCCCAGCGTAAGGTACCCCTAATTTTTGAAGACTCCCATGTCAGGTTGATGCAGCATTGTGAGCGAAAAGAAAGCATCGAGCTTCAAACCCCATACCCAATGTCATGAATATCTTGCCGAGCAAAAAGAGATGCATCAGATGACACCTAAGTTTTAGTTCCTTAACAAAGCCAAGATAGATTGCAAAGAAAGTTGTGAGATGACAAACTCTTTTCGTGGTTTCTCCTGGCCGGCCACAACAAACCATGCCAGAAGTCGAACCATGCGCATCCGGTCGCTAGCCTCGGGCGTACCTGCGAAGAGAGCACAGGCACAGTCTACGGCTTGCGGTAGAATCATGGACCAGCTCCAGAAGCTACACCGCCCAGCATCTCAGGAAAGTGTGCGGCAGGTTTTGGCCCCACATCAGCTGGACCGTACTGCTTTCCACCAGATCTTGCAGCTCCTAAAGAGTCGCCACCGAGCCGATCTAGTAGGTCCTCTTCTTGCAGAGATTGTCAGAGAAGGTGACACGAAACTTGGTCTACCAGAATACACGGCCGGGATTAGCGCCTGTGCAAAGGCGAGGAAGTGGCAGCTGGCTGTGCATCTGTTCCTTAGGAGCTGAGTGGATATACTTTACACTTTTTGGAATTATTCTTTACTTTGTGGATAATATTTCACACTATAAAACGAGAAGTGACCACTTCTCGGGGCTTATGAACTGAGCAACTGAGTAACTAAGGTTCGATAGCATGCACGAAGCCAAGCTGGAGGCTAATGTCATCAGCTACAGTGCCACCATTAGTAGTTGTGAGAAAGCCGGACAGTGGCAGATGGCCGTGCATCTGTTCGACAGCATGCCAAGAGCTAACGTGGAGGCAAACATCATCAGCTACAATGCAACGATCAGTGCTTGTGAGAAGGCTGGTCAGTGGCAACTGGCAGTACACCTGTTCGACAACATTCGCAAAGCGAAGCTGCATGCTGACCTCATTAGCTACAGTGCCGTCATCAGCAGCTGTGAGAAGGTCGGGCAGTGGCAGCTGGCGGTGAGTCTATTTGCAGCAATGCTCAAATCCCAATTAGATGCTGATGTCATCATTTACAGTGCTACCATCAGCAGCTGTGCGAAGGCTGGGAATTGGCAGCTGGCCATGCATCTCTTCGAAAGCATGCGCAAGAACAAGGTGGGCACGAATGTCATCAGCTACAGTGCTGCCATCAGCAGTTGTGAGAAGGGCGGGCAATGGCAGCTGGCTCTGCATTTATTCGCCAGCATGTGCAGGGACAAACTGCTTGCTGACGTGACCAGCTATAATGCTATCATTAGTGCTTGCGAGAAGGGTTGGCAGTGGGAGCTGGCAATAGACCTCTTCGACAGCATGCACAGAGCCAAGCTCCAAGCTGACGTCATCAGCTACAACGCCACCATCAGCGCTTGCGAGAAGGGTGGGCGGTGGCAGCTAGCTATGTATCTCTTTGACAATATGCACAAGGCCAAGCTGCATCCTGACATCATCAGTTTCAGCGCAACCATCAGCAGCTGCGAGAAAGGTGGACAATGGCCGCTGGCATTGCACATTTTTGCTGTGATGCTCGCTGCCCAACTAGATGCCGATGTCATCAGCTACACTGCCGCCATCAGCAGTTGCGAGAAGGCCGGGCAGTGGCAGATGGCCGTGCATCTGTTCGACAGCATGCAGAAAGGCAAAGTGCATGCAAACATCATCACCTACAGTTCCACAGTCAGGGCGTGCGAGAAGGGTGGGCATTGGCCTCTGGCTGTTCATGTCCGGCAACAGGCGAGAACTCAAGGTGCATATTGAGTCCAAGCTGCAAGTTGCAGCCAGCAAGCCTGCAGTTGGTGAGCAATATCATCAGGCTCAACTAGATACAGTAGGAATAGTTAAGGCTCCCTTATAGTCCCTATATAGTTATTAACTATATGGGGACGAAGGGAGCTTTAACCACGAGGGAATAGTATATTTTGAAGGATTCTGGCCACTGCTTTGTTGATCCCGGCATCCAAACTGTCAGGGTAGCATGGTGCTGTGATTCCACCCTTACAGCCTTACACAACAAAGATCCAGCTTTCGCACCCTGTCGTTCTGTGACAGCTCTGTGTAGGAGATGTTGGCCATTGCATACCCTAAACCCATAAGCCCACAAACCCTAACCCCTCAACCCTAAACCCATAAACTCATAAACCCTAAGCCGGTGGGATCAATGAGGTAGGAAGCAGCTGCGCTACTCGCAGAGACCGGGGAGCATCAACGATGTTTTTGCAAAAGACGATGTATGCTGCTGATGTTCGCTGCCTGCAGAGATTTGCAAGGCTTGCCAATTTCGTTTCGCAAGCGGTACCTGGAACAGTCCGAGGCCGAGCCACGGCTGGATGAGGCGTCGCGAGTTAGTGGCCCAGGTGCCACGTGCAACCCAAACCACCAATCCTAAACCCTGAAACCTCAAACCCAAAACAGTGACAGGAGTTCTTTTTACAATGGCTTTTGTCAGATGAAGCATGCAGCCGTGGTTCAAAAAGATCTGCAGAGGACGCCGCACTATCACTATCTTAGTTTTGAGAGCTCTTGATTCTGGGGCTATAAAGCCTGCGTTCAAGACCCTAGACCCTAAACCCTATATACCCCAAGTACATACCCAAAACCCTCACAACCCGAAAGAAGTCTGGGCCATGGTAATTACCCCTGCACCCCAAAGACTCTCTTTGAAGGGCTCATAAACTGCAACTGAGAAACTTTGGAGCCTTGTTCACCTACCAGAGGGTCCTAAATAATTACCAATACTATTTTGGAGGTACTATAATCTGAGTAGAACACACCGATCCCCTCTTTTAGATCCCTTTAAAGAGCCCTTTAAAAGGAACCCCCAAAGGAAGCCGTTTGCAGGTTTAGGTTCTCGGTTTAGTCTTCGGAAGCTCGAGTGACTGCCCACCTTCCTGAGCCCTGTGCACTTCAAGCTTGAAGCTTGGGGTTTAGGCATCCTACATATACTACATGGGATGCCGCATATATCAGTAGGTGAACATATATATATATAAGTATATATACACAAAATGTTTCTTTATTCATTCACTTGTTCTTTTAGTGAGTGTGTGTGTGCCAAGGTTTGTTTCTGCGTAAGTCCCTCAGCTCATCAAAGTTCGGTTTTGGGTCAAGGGGTTTAAGCCAGATCTCCCTGTCTGGTGTCGAGAGCAGATGTCGATGCGTCCCGTGTGGCTGTGGATTGGGAGGCCAGCTTCGTGGAGTTTCTGGAACCTGCTACTCATTTGGGGCCTTTTTGTTGAGTTTTTGGATCCCGGTACTGGTTTAGGGCCTTTCGGTGTTTGGGAGATTTGTAGATTGGTGTTTGCCAGGTGCCTCGTGCTGTAGGACCTGTTTCGAACAGGCTCGTACTTTGCATGCGTCTGGTCTTTTTTCGTCCGGGATATCGTAAATGTTTGTACTCTTCGATGTTGGGCGACGACGTGATGCTTCAAGTGGAATGCCGTGTTTGTGGACGATGTCAACTGCTCGTTAGTTAGATTGCTAGCTAGCGAGAGATTGAGCGACATATAGAGACATAGAGATATAGAGATCCAGAGAGATAGATAGATATAGATCTAAGATAGTTGGATAAATAGACAGAAGTTAGATGGCCCTTACGTAGACCTGAAAACAAGAAAGAACGAAATAAATACCGACATATGAGACAGGTCAGACAGATTAGATAGATGAAGAGGATGAGACGGATTGGATAGACCAGAGTGCGTTGTAATGGGTTTGGTTAGGTTAGATTGCATTTTTTAGGTTAGAACAGATTGCAATAGCAGTGAAGGTTCAGGGATAAACATGATTTCGGCATTCGTGCAGCCCTGCAGGTATATGAGCTTTTGGGTCCAAATACGGTTGTCGGGGTACCCGTAGAAAACTTCTCTGATGTCAACGGAAGGATCATTTTTCCAAGACAGGAACGCCAGAACGAAACTAACAATTGGAGACTCTGGCTGAGCACATGTTTTGCAAGATTGCTGATGGCGTACTCATTCGAGACCATGTGAAAGCTGGTTTGTTTGACGGTCGTGTCTCGTGTAGCAAAACCGGGCACATGCCGTCTGACCGACATGGCCTTGCCGATAGGTGAAGGATGTCTTCTCTGTCGAAAGCCATCTGAACCCTAAACCCTAAACCTGAAAGTGGAGTTTTCGGACTTCACCACTTCTTCTGGAACCAAGCCGATGCCCAAAACCAGCAAGCAAAAGGACACACATCCTGAATTCCTCGAGCCTACACCCTCAAGATGCAGATTGCTGAGGGTTTATAGGATCTCTTGTTTATGCGCTGCTTCTGGTTTGATTTTGAGGCGGTCCCCGGTGTGCCGCCCGAAAGCCTAAACCCGAGGGGAAAAGGAAGGTGTTCGAAAGGACATCCGCAAGCAAGAAGCAATGAAGAAGGATTCAGGGTATAGGGCTCAGGGTTGAGAGATGGGAGTTTCCGAAAATAGGGGGCCCCAATATAGTACCCCAAAATAGTAGGATGCTTATTATAAGAACCCACCAAAACAAGGCACCCCTAATTTCAGAAACTCCCAGATGAAGTTGAGGGGCTGGGGTTCGGTTTGCGGTTCCGGGTTCAAGGTTTACAGCAAGATCTTGCGAAAGGAGTGGATTGAAGGCGTTTATGTGGTATTCATCATAGTCCCAAGGGTCCAAAGGACCCAATAATTGGGTTCTCGGTTTTAGGATAGTAGTTGTGTAGGTTAAGATCTTGGAGAGTATATGATCATTAGGTACTTGGACCCTTGGGGTGGCCAGGTCATATCCACAATATATATCCATGATCACCATAGCAGTTGTATTGAGGTCCCTCCAAAAAGGCGCCCGTAATCGTAGTGACAAGCTTGTTGCAGTCCACAAAGCGTGACAAGGGCGACTCGACATGTGGACGTCTTTCCAAGCCATCAGGCGCGCGTGGGTTTGATTGGCTCCCCCAAACCCCACAGCAATGTAGTCACGAAGGCCCCTGTTCCAAAAGTCCACAAAAACTTGATAAATCCCTATCAAGACCCCTATCCAATTCCTGCTTGGATAGTCCTCATAGCATCCTAAAACCCGACTATTGGTGTAACATGAGGCTCCCTTCAGAGTTTAAGGTGCAGGGGTCGGGCTTTGGGAGTTGAGGTCAGGCTGTATCCTAAACCCTACCTTGAGCTACCATAACCGACTTCTTTGTAGGAACCTAACCCCAATATGGAATTTATAGGGGCACTACTTCTTTGTAGGCTTTGGTAGGTTAAGGTAAGCACCTAAACCCTAAACCCTCAAGAGTTTCGAGCTCAAGGGTTGCGAGCGTTCCATGTGAAGCTCCCCTTTGGGAGTCGACTCTTTGGCTGTGCTTTGGGGGTCTTGCGGGACTCCTAAATGTAGAGGCCTTAATAATTAGAATAAGGTGTTGGGGCCCATTACACCATCATTATAATAAGGAATCCCCCAGAATTGTATAGGTAGTTATTCAGGCAACCCTAAACCCTAAACCCTAAACCCTAAACCCTGTAGTATGTGGACCTGCCCACGCCCATATTTTGACGGTGGCTTTGGAGGTGGGTTTTGGGCTTTGGAGTTCAGGGCTTTAGGGTTGAGAGGTTTCACGTCCTTTGAAACCTTGGGGCTACCTCCCAGATTAAGGATTCTAGGTTCTGCGGATCTATATATATATATATATGTGATATCTATACCTCTCTCTCTCTATATATATATATATATGATTATATATGTATTGAAATTGCAGTCCTTAAGGCCCGACCACACCACAGAATCGCAGAACCCTCCACCACCCGAGACGAAGATCGGAACCGTTCTGACACCCGAGACCCATACACCCTCAAACCCGTAAGCCCTGACCTCTTCAACTCCCGACTGATTTTCAACCCCTAAACCCATAAAACCTAAACCCTAATCGCTAAACCCTAATCACTAAACCCTATAAGCTCTAAACCCTAAAGCCCTGAAGCCCTAAACCCTTTGCTTGCCAGTTTCAGCTTCGGCCCTTGGCAGCTCCGGCCTCGACCTCGGTGCGATGTGGGGGTTTCCGAAAATGGGGGAGCCTGATATAGTACCCTAAACTTGGCCTTCTTCTGGTTGGATCTTAGGACTTTATGTATATGTGTATGTACACATGTACTTACAGGTAGGCATGTAAGTAGTTGTTTAAGTGTGTGAGTATGCCAGTATGCAGGTATGTACTTACTCTTACTGCATACGTTTGTACCTAAACATACAATCATGTATTCATCCAGACCTCCATGTGTATGAATGGACTTTAATATGTTTGCAAACCTATGCCCAGGCATGTAGTTATGTGAAATCCGACAGTACAAGTGTAGTCTATGTCATTGACGTGATAGGTAGGATGTACATGTGATGCAGTGTCCCATAGTTGAAGCAAACTGGAGCAGCACGTTTTGCGAGGCAGCGCCGCAGACCGCATCAGCCCTGACACTTCAGCGCAGCGGCAAGCTGGCTGATGAGGCACGGGAGAGCAGAGTCGGATAGGGTTTGCCTTAACCCTGAAGAACCTACCGTTGTAGGGTTCCCTATTATGATTTCCTTATACAAGTCCTTAAACAGGTAGGTTCTTCACGGTTAAGGTGGGGTTTAGGGTGATCCCACACGCATTTGTGTTTCCATCGTAACCCGCCGTTTTGCCCCCCCCCCCCTTTCTCCTTTAATCCTAGAGGCATACCAAGGGCTCCAGTTGCCTACACAGTAAGTTACTAACCTTCTAATAATCAACCGAGTAACCAGGAACCCATTATTTCGGAAATGGGAGCC